TGTGTTTACCGTCCTGGTCTCCTTAGTCATCACTGCCCTTCCCTTGTTGTATGTATTATGGACCCTGTTTTGTTGTCATGTTGTTTTTATTCCATTAAACCACCTTTTTTGTACTAGCACCTGGGTCAGCCATCTTGAGTCCAACCCCAGTTCTCCCTCACCCTCCTGGTGAGGGGGACTAAACCTTAACAGAATGCTCCGGCCAACAATGGACTCAGCTGGCTCAGGTGCTAGCTTTCCCTCATCCTCATTCCCCAGCCATAGTATGAATCAGCCCCGGTCATTATTCACAAAAACTTACCTTAGCTCCCCAGAAACTCAGGACATCTACCGGCAACTCACTTACCATAAGTTTTCCCCTTTTTCTTTTCCTGAGGCTGCACCCAAGCCCTCACCTCCACAGACGGTTTTGCTCTCCATGCGCCTCGGTTCTTTTTTTCTGTCTCCTGTCCCTGAGCCCACTCCAGTTCCCACCAGTTTTTCTTCCTCACCCTCACCTGGTACTCGGTTGGCCCTCTGTCCAGGTGGTCCTGGAGGAAGGTGGAGCAGGAGGGCCAACTGACGCCAGCCAGCCCCTCAGCAGCCTCCACAGCCCCAGCAGCCCAAGCCACATCTGTTTCATTTCCTGTTCTGGTCTTGGGGGGGGTCGGTGCCGACCCCGCCGCTCTCCTGCTTCCTGCCCCAGAGGGGTTCGCCGATGAGGCCGCCCTGCTTCCTGCCCCAGAGGGGTTCGCCGATGAGGCCGCCCTGCTTCCTGCCCCAGAGGGGTTCGCCGATGAGGCCGCCCTGCTTCCTGCGCCAGAGGGGCCTCATTTTCTTTTAGGACTTGTGGACATGGTTTTGTGCCTTTGTCGTTTTGGACATTTTTTGTTATGCATGGACTTGGTACCTTTGTGTTTGTTTTGGGGTCTCCTTAGTCATCACTGCCCTTCCCTTGTATGTATTATGGACCCTGTTATGTTGTCATGTTGTTTTTATTCCATTAAACCACCTTTTTTGTACTAGCACCTGGGTCAGCCATCTTGAGTCCAACCCCAGTTCTCCCTCACCCTCCTGGTGAGGGGGACTAAACCATAACAGTTTCTTGGCACAGAGCAACCTGTTAAAACATAAGGCCCTTTCAGAAGCTTGAAGGACGAAGGGCCTGCTGCCATATCTGTCATATCTGTTGGCAGTCTTTCCACAGTCTGATTCACTTGTAAGGGGCTAACAAAATTTGAGTGCCCCCAAAGAACACAGCACCTCCTGTGCATTACAATCCATGCAACTCCAGAGACCACAATACAAGAGCAAAGTATGAATTAATTCACTGCCTTGACATGAGATGCAGCTGATGGCCAGAGTTCTGTTTTGCATGGAGAGAAGGGGGTGTGGGAGACTGCAAGGATCCATGTCTCCTATTGTTTGGCTGCCCCAGTCAGTATTTAGTAGACTGCAGCTCTCATGGCTTCCTGAGTTTGGCAGACACTTGAGCTCCTCCTGCCTGTGTTTGTCTTGCTCAGCTGGTACAGCAGGCAGACAGCTGCAACCCCACACCACAGGAAACCAGAAGCTCATCTCAACAGTTCCCATCCTCAAAACTGGTTGACAGAGGAAAGACGGGGCCGGAGGCATTTTGCTGAATCACTGCGTCATGACTGAGTGCCCATGCAAGTAACTCACTGCCCAAGGCAAGACAAGATGGTTTGATTACCTCTGTGGGCCAAAAAAAGAAGTCAAATAGCTTCATGCGTGTTTGTGTTTGTGTGCAAAATCAGCGTCACAAAACTGCCCCAGGTCTCATCACTCACAACAGTCACACACTATAGGCAGACACCTACACAGCCCCGCCCAATTATACGTGAGAGCAGACACACTCACACTTTCTCTCTCTGTCACACGCACACACACACACACACACACACACACGCTTGTACATCGTCTCCGTCAGTGATCAGTGCTTCAGAAAACACAAGGTTTGTTGGGTGTGTTTAGGACACAGACCACTTTCTGTTCTAACGTCATTAAGAGGAGAGATGAAGGCAAACAGCCTAATGACTCTGTCAACGGCCCAAATGGCCGCACTGGTATCTTATTCTATAGTATGAGGCTGACAGTCAAAACCTTTGAGGTTAGTTACTGACAAGTTACTAAAACTCAGACCTCTTTGACACAATAAGAGATGTCTTAAATGATTCAAGGTTATATACTGTAGGCTTCTCCTTCAGATTGTCTTTCTCTTCTCTCTCTGTCTCTCATGCATAGAGATTTAGCAGTAATCCGACTCTAAACACCACCCTAGGGTTAGCCTGAAGTCTAAATCTATCTAAATACTGCTTTAACAAGAACTGAAGTTGGTGGAGTGGCATCACATTCCTTGCCATACAATCTATAATCTCCTTCTTTGCACTGACTTAACCAAAATATTGAGGTGCCACGATATTAAAAAAGCGCAACAGACAGAAATAAAAGACCGAATGCGCTCTGGCATGAGGATAGAAAATCATGGGGTTTGACAAGACACTTGTTAGGTTCTGGAAATTAAAGGTGGCAATTTGCAGGATAAGCTCCACTTTCGAGGTTTCCACGTCCCCCTCGCAATATTCCTTACATAAATAAGCTCTCCTTTAGCTCACAGAACCCATTTCATAAAGTTATTGTCCCGCAACGGTCCAAAGCACAGACGGACAAAACTCATAACAGAGGACAATTTAATCATTTATAGTCTATAAATCTTTGTACTTGATCAATTTCAACCACTCTTGGATTTTGCAAAACCGCAGTTTGGCAGCCGCTGTCTCGCACGACAAGCCAGACCGTGCGTAAGGACACACCATGTGCGTGCGTACCGCGGAGGAGCGGTCTTCCCCGGCACCAGGCACAACGTCCAGCCCGTGTTGTTACTTTGAAAATTCATTATGCGCAGCCTAAAGCTGTATGCTGAGGCCATAAGGCGCATTTACTGCCGGCTGTATCCCCGCAAAGACTGGAGAAGAGGGGAGGAATAAGCTCCTGCAGGCAGTGGATAACAGTTAATCAGATGGCACCTCAAACCATCTGTCAATCAAACGGTCTGCCAGCTACAGCGGGTCTTTTGGAGGAGAGGGAATCACGTAGGGTTCTAAAATAAGGCAGCCAAAATGTATAGAATCAAAACGTAAACTGTTTGAGTAACTGTTGAATTTGTCGTGAATGACTGTTGGGCTTATTCACGCTTCAGTGCATCACCGCATGGGACAAGATGTTAAACACTGATCTACATAGTGGCTGTTCTGACAGAACACTTACAATGCTGCGCTTATAGCTGCACTCATTTTAAGTTGCTGTTTGGTCCCGAGCATGCATCCAGGCAGCCAGTGCGCGTCTTACCTAGGGATGGGTACGCAGGTTTGTATCCTTTCTCGTTGGTACACAGTCCCCTGCCATGGAGAAGGGCGTGCAGGGGTTTCTCCTCCCCGCTCCTGGGCAGACAGCGGAGGCCCTGGGCGCAGGTCCCGGTGTAAACGCCGCACGCCTGTCCCTCAGACAGGGCGCATGTTAGGCAGCAGCCACAGCCCGGCTCCTTGACCAGCTGGCAGCCGACCGGGACCGGAGGGCACATGGACTGCGCCTTGTCGTCACAGGGCTCGCATGGCACGTATGAACCCAAACATCCGGACAGCCCCAAGATAAATGTGACCAAGAGGCAAAGACTCAGAATCATTGTTGGTGTTCTCTTCAGTTACAGCATAAACCTCAAATGCGAAGAGGAGGGGAAAAAGTAGACTGGTCTAATGAACACAATGACTCAGTCAGATAATCCGCTTTTTAAAGCTAAAGCCAAGTGTTTATCCAAGAGTGTGACTATCTATTAAAAAAACATTAATTATAGACTTTGAGTTGTGCACCGTGCAAAAAGCATTAAAATGAGCAATTTAAAATATGTGTGCTGTTTTTCCAGAGATAGCCTATTGTCCTCTGCAGGAGCAAAGCAATTCTTTACACAAAATCGTTCGTTTCCCTTCAGGCTGGACGTCAGTACTTTCTCCACCAGAAGTTTCCTGAGCCGACTGATCAACTTGAGAGCTGCTATGCCTTTATAAAAAACAGCCGAGCCCAAACCCCTAACTATGAATACGCTAAACAGCAGGGAAGGGAGGCGCACTTGTTCCACGGCTTGGCAGGCGGGTTTTTTTTCTAAGCAGCTGCGGCGGCAGCAGCAGCAGCAGGATCATTTCATCCTGAAGGCTGAACTGATGCCGAGGTGCAAGAAGCAACAACAGAAAGAAACGCAGCTCTCATCAAAACATTTCAGCAGAGCAGTCTTCAAACGCTGTATGCGGGCTTTCACTGGCTGTAGGCACTGCGAAATGTGATAGTACAGACTTACAGATTGTCGGAGTTGAAAACCTGTCTAAAACATCTATTCAAGTCTCAAGGAAAAATCTTTTTCTTACATCATGATTCTTCTCTGGCCATACAAAACAAATCATCGCTAACCCCCGCTTGAGTCATAAGTGCCTCTTTGTCATGGGTTAAATGAAATACTGTATCTGTAGTAAGGAAAAGTAGGACAGAGCTGTGCTGCTTTGCATTTGTGGAAGGAGGAGAAAACCAGTTGGTGGCCGTACAACACAGTGTGTGTGCAGCACTCACTTACAGGCTGTAATGGTTGGAAGATGTTTTTAAATTGACGTCTTTTTCATCCAATTTACAGCTTTCCACGCTCAACAGGTTTTGTTTAGACAGCACTGGCAGGGATACCTGCTCCGGTCTATAAGTCACCTCTAAAGCCTGCACCTGTTGCTTCCATTGGGCACCGTAGCCAGAAGGGAAATCCACCCCCACACCCCCGTGTGCGTCTTCCTGTAGAGAAGATAAAAATAGAACAGAGAGAGGTGGGGAAAAATGTCACAAACTGACAACATACGTGCGCCTGGGTTCTGTTATTTCATAGCCTCTAAGCAGAAGAATGCCTGGCTGCCTCAGTATTCTTAAATCAGCCTAGCTGGGGCTGCTCTTCCCCTCTCTGCAGGTTTCAAGATAAATTTGTCTTGTTTCAGTAACAGCTGAGTGTCAGGAAGCTGTGTTAGCTGCCTTCACAGTAGTATATCCACTCTTTGCTTGATAAATGAGCTCAGTCATTTAGGCTAAATGTGGCTGTCATATCATCTTATCTCACCCTGCAGCCACAAGCTCAGGATCCAGAGGGATTTGCTCATGTTATTTTAGCTGTTGACCACTAGAACAATGAAAAACTACAGAAGAGCTCATCCACATCTTCTTCACCTTAGAAATCAGAGAAATTCCCACAGTAATGACACCTAACTGATTACCATAGCTGTGATAAAGAAGTCCTCTTGATTCTGTACAGTAGAATCCAAGAGTATATGCTGTCATTGTGCTAATACAAAGGAATCTAAAGACAGACCTAACCAGTGACTGTACAATTATGTAACTGAATATACATGAAATCAAATTCACATGGAGAAGTTTAATTTTCTTGGAATAGCTCATGAAAATGTGACCTATTTTCACCACAACATTAGTTTGGCACATTTTTGCTGTTTCCTTTGCTTCAGCTGAGCTGTGATTGTTTAAAACGTGGTTTACAGAGGATGTTGAAGGCTCATAACCACTGTTTACATATCTGGACTGTTTTCCCCCCATGGCTTTTTCCTTTGGTCCCTCTAACATGCCTTCATCCATGCTATCACTTCCCATTCTTTTGCATGTCAACTTCTGGAACACGCTGATATTTTTGTCAGGGTTTGACACACAGGGACACATTCTGAGAAAAGGGAGAGAGAGATTCTTCCAGCAGGCTCAGAAGCTGCATGGTGAACTGATGGTAAAATGTCTCAGCAGCCAGCTCCTGAGCAAGAGAACTGTAGTGAGTCAGTGTTCCCTCCAGAACCAGCAGGAGCAGCAAAACCCCACCGGAGCAAATCAGAGCTACTTTGGCTAAACTCAAGCGGTGAGAATGGATGGGAATGAAATAGCTAAGCAGTGTGGATGAATGATGTACCCACCAGATCTCATCTGAGCATGAGACAGTGGATGAAGACACAGGGAAATATGTTCCCAATACAAGCTCCATTTAAGGTTGGACATGTTATCATCATTGAAGTGACACAATGTTCTTGCTCTGTTTTCTCCATTAAAATGGAATCCATGCTAATTCCCTAAATTTCTGTTCATCAATCCATCTGTTCCTTCTCCTGTCCCACCCTGCTCATGACTATGCGTCACTCTGACCTAAAGGAACAAGACCAATGTTGTATGCTCAACATGCAAACATTAAATGACTAAATGATTTAATTTATGGTTTGACTCATCACCTGTCACAGCATTGTCCCAAACTATATCTGTAGTATTTACCTACTGGCAGGTTTTGATTTGATTTGATTTTGATTTATTAATTCTTTCAAGCATGTAAAGACAGTTGATATGTCAACACACATAAT